GAAGAACAGCCTAGGTCACCCCAAAACATAATATGGCAAACGGGTCTCTGGTGAAATTACGACAAGCCTAACAAGCCGGAAATTGATCAATTACAGCTTTAAAAGAAAGAAAAGAGGGAATGAACCCTGGGTAGACTTTTTTGTTGCTCTTTAAATTGTATCTCTACTTCTGCGAAAGGTGATAACTCATAAACTTAATCAAGCGAGCTCAGTTGGCATCAGGCGAACCCCGATTTTTGGGGTGGTCTTGAACTGGGCTAGTGAGGGAATGTTTTCTTAGTCTCGGTTTTATCAAAAATGGACGCTCGAATTGAAGATTCTCGGATCTTGAACAACCATTACAGCAATAAAGGGGACGTTAAACACCTACATTTATCATAATTATACAGAACGTTAATTTTATTGATGCTGCCACCAATAGGGACAGAGTGGATGTGTAAACGATACGCCTGTCTAGGTCAAAATGATAGTCATAATTTGCTCAAATTTCTTCTTTCAAAAAGGTAATGAAGTGTGACTTAAACTTACGCTGAACATAATCATCCAACTAGGAGAGTTATGCTTTCGAAATAAAAGAAGAAATTAACATAATTTTATTAGTTTTTGGTGCAATAACGTGCAAGGGACGACACGGTCTGTTAAACAAGGGTGAACGAAGTGCAACTCAATGCCAGTTCAAAGGGGTTAGAAGCGCGTGGTTCAGCTTGCAATTAAAATTCGTGTATAAGTTCAAAATCAGTGGTCCAGATGATTTCAGTGTTTACCCAGTTGGAGAGTAATGTCATCAAGTTGTGCCCTTCCACGCGAAGTGTCACACACCCATTAGTTTTGTTTTTGGTTTTGTAAGTGTTTTACGGCGCTTGCAACTGCATAAGGTCATATGAGCGCGCCGGACACATTAAACTTTTTCAGTTGGTAGGAAATTTTGAATTTTGCCCGAGTGGCGGCCAAAGCCTACTGATCTTATCGATCTTAGACCACCAAGGGATCTTTAACGTACGCAACTTGCACACGGGTCCTCCGAGATTTTTCGCCCTTGTCCGAGAAGGATAGGTGTAGATCTTTCCTACCAGAAGATCAGGGGTGTGGCTGAAAGACAGCAGTAAGAAGAAGCCAAGGAGTAGCAGAAGAAAGGCAACAGAAAGAATCAGGAGCCCAGGGGAGGGGGGCAAAGGAGATGAGGGAGTGGGGGCAGAAAGAGGAGACGAAAGCAGGCGACAGAACATTGCTAGAGAGCAGGAAAGGAGGTGAAAGGAAACAAATTCAAAGAAATTTTTTTTGGTCACTACCCGGATTCGAACCCGGGACCTTTGAATGAAAGGCCAACACCTTAACCTCTAGGCCACGAGAGCCCCCTCCCATTAGTTTAGTCCCTTACAAATCAAAAGAGTTATTTCATTATGCAGTTGCGAGCGCCCTAAAACCTCTACTAAAACAAACAAACAAACAAAGAGTTAAAAAGCTTTCAAGCGCATGTTTTTATCAATTGCAACCTTTTCATTCTTTTGAAACGAACCCCTTTACATTCCTATTCTATCTCTCTCTCTCTCTCTCTC